ACCGCTCCTCACTCGTGTTTCCGCGTTCACAGTGGCGGGTGTTGGTGTTTAGTGCTTACAGCACAGAGAGAGATGAAGAGTGAGGAGGACTTCAGCAGCAAAACAGCCTTTTCCAGATGGAAATATCGGCACTATCTCAAACTCACTGAGGTTAAAGGTAAAAATGTGCACGTCAAGTGCACATTATGTTCCAGAACGCAATAGTTACTTTTACTGGTAACTAGTTACTTTTATAGTGGAGTAACTCCGTTAGTAACTCAGTTACTTTTTGGGAGAAGTAACTATAACTAATTACTTTTTCAAAGTAACGTGCCCAACACTGAAGGGAAGACAGTAGAAAAGAAATCTGCTCTGGGATTTGAAACACCCAAAACACTCCAAATCCTATGCATTTGTGATGTTTTGCTTTGACCATAGCATTTTGAGATAGTTTTCGAAAACTGTCTGAATTTTGCACCAAACTGCGCGCTTGCAATCAAACGACAAGCAATGTTTTTTTCACATATACTCATGGCTGCTCGGAATACCCGTTTCAGAAGTTTTAATTAAGAGCGCTTCAGAAAACACTAGAAAAACAGATGGAAAAGGTTCTGAAAGGCGGTGAACGTTGCGTTTCCGTTTTCTTTGTGAGTGCACAAAACACTTGAAATCGGTTTTGCATTTTCTCTCCTCAAAACAAAGTATGTGACTTATGCTTATATTTCTGTTGTTTGCCTGTTTTAATTTGTATTTTCCGCAAATAAAAAAATAGGAAGAAGAAAAAAGTGACTAACAATGTTTATGGATGTGCTTCCCACTCAAAACATTTTTTACTTTAGATACCAATTATCGGTAGTGAGAAGCTGAGAATAATCCAGCGAAGAACATCACGGGTCGGCACTACATCGTGAAGAAGTTTGTTGCTATGATGTTTCAAAGTAATCTGCAAATAAGTGATGTGCTTTGAGCAACTCTCGCTTTCATAACAAACGTGGGAAGTGCGTCTGTGTGATGTCTTCTGAAAAGCTTTGAAAGGTTCCCACAGACACATCTGTTATTCAAGTAAAAGCTGGACGCTATCTCAACATGTCTTTATTCTCTGTGTAAGAATGTTTCATGCTGGAAAGATTTTTGAAAGAAATATGTTGGAACTCAATGTCTCTATGTGTGGGGTAGTGTCAATAATTAGTATCTAAATCCTGTAACATCATTTTATGGTATCTATCTATCTTCTGGTTTAAGTTTTGTGATTATTAGTTATGTTTTTTTCATTAAATATGATGTCTGATGCCTGTTGTTTGTATCTGCTTCTGATGGACACTTGATTTTTCTATAAATGTAGTATAATATGTTTAGTACAGTATCTATTCATCTTTCTTAGAGCTTTCTTCCCCAATAAATAAAAAACCTTATCATTCACGATTCATAGATTAAAGGGCATACGATGATGCTTAAATTACTAGAACGGTGATTGCTTATTCTCTCACTTTCCAATGACTAGTGTAGAGAATGCAAAATGATGTTCGTTATGAGCTTTTAGGTATTACATGTTTCTGGAAATATGGATCTATTTGTCTTTTTAACTCAATGGATAGCCTTGACTCTACTATTTTATATATAGGGCAAAACCTTATGCCGCGTTCAGACCGGATCATGCGTTGCGTCGGCTTTCAATGCAAAGTGAATGGAGACGGTGTTTGAGCGTCAAAATGCACGAATGTCTCGGAATGCACACACGGACTGTTCAGTAGAGACGCACGGACTGTGCGGGAAAGTCGAACGGGAGGAGCAGGAGCGGAAAATTGACGCACGCAGGAGATGAATTTTTCTCAATCTTTCCTCGGGACGCTTGTGCAACGACCAATCAGAGAACCGCAAAGTGGTCAGGGGACATTAGCGGTCTGAGCGAACAGACTGAAAAAACTCGTAAACAGCCAAAACAGGAGCAACATCAGGACTAAACCGGGGCTGACAATGGGGGACAATGTGCTTGTTAACATGTGAGATTTCATGCTCCCGTGACCTTATGCAACTGCTTCGAGTGTGTTCGCCGATGCGGAAGTACTGTTTAATAATAAAATAAACTTATTGCGCACCTCCGTGAACACATACTGCTGTTATATAAAGTCCGGAAGGTCTCAGACACAGAGACGCTGCAAAGCTGCATTATTGGAGAAGAACTTTACACAAGAAGCCGCTAGCTAAGCTCTGTTAACATCAGAGCCGGCCGGCTACTTCCGCCACTTCCGGCGCGCGCCAGGACTTCTGGTCTGAAGACCCCTGCGTCTGAAAACTAGAGAATGTGCGTCTGGTGAGCGAGGCCTCAGCGTTTCAGCGTTGGTGGTCTGAAAGCAGCATTAGTTATAGGGCAAATCCTTCATTATTGTCATATGTACAAGTGCTATGGATTTGTCTTGAAAGTTCTGTTCTATTTGTGTTTTTATTATTTTAGCAATCTTTAAGAACAAAATACTTTGTAACAAAATTCTTAACCTGACCTTTCAATTAAAATGGAAACATTGTAATTGCAGATGTATCGACTCCTTCTGACACCTTTTCTTTTTGGATACAGTCTGCATTCCCACAAAAACTGCAAACACACTTTACAGCTAAATCTACTTGTCAAAACTAATACTACTTCAACTTCGGCCCGATCACTTATTCATGACATTTTTACCCTGGTTACAGCTTCCTCCAATCGTCATCACATCGTCTATAACCCGTCAGATCCTGTTCAGTAAATAACAGCAAGTGGCTCTGTAATGAGAATATAAAGTTGTATCCCCAGTTTGCTGTGAGGGCAGAAGATAAATTGTGGGTCTGACAGCTGTCTCCCAGAGCAGTGATCCAGGTGCAGGGCAACAATCAAAGCAATGGTGCGAGGAGGAGCACTGTGGCCCCCCGCTGCTCCCTGCTATAATGGGACAATCTCTGCACAGCTGTCTGTCAGCCTGAACGGCCGCAATGGCTTTTTTAGGTGATGTGAGTTCCTCTCCTCGGCCGTGTCAGTCACTGAGCGTTGGACGAACGAGGCACATAAAGAAAGTCCAGTGCTTTCAAGTCGCTGGGTGTTAAAGTGTATGCTAATACAAAGGATCCAGGCTGGTGTCGTTCTTGGTTCATGCAGTGAGTTTACAAAGCACTTGGGAAAATCTGGCCTCTTGCCTGGTCCTGTTTAATTTTGATTGAATAAGCATGTAAACCTGTGCGCTTCTATTGAGGTGTGAAATTCATGTCTATTTGATAAAACTAGAATAGCATTGAATTCAATTTATTTTTGTACAGCCCTAAATCACAGCTGTAGTTATCTGACTGTACAAAACCGTTGAATTGGCCGTCATAGATCAGAGAATCAAACAGTTCAAACACAAGAGATGCAATGATAAAAAACACATAGAGCCTTTGGTCCATAAGGAGCAGAGAACAATGTATATTAATGTATAATGATAATGATAAAGTCCATAAATGTCGTTGAATGTCGAGTGTCCTGGATCATCACCACTGTCCTTAAACCCTCCTGTGTTTAGAGAACTGTTCCTCCTGAATGGCAATGTAACCATGTAAACCAAATACTACTGAGACAAGGCCAGCAGACGCATTTATGAGCTCAGGGAAAAGCCATGCTCATGTTAGAAATTTACGTATTTGGACTCATAAAGGCCACTCACTCACATCGATCAAATGATTCATTGCTTTGTTTCGGTTTTAGTTAAATAAGACAAAAGCAGGAGATTCTTAAATAATGCCACTGTTTTTCACCTGCTGTTCAGAGGGGGATGTTCAATGGCAATGGTTCATATTTCTTGTTATTGCACAAACCATGAATATTACTGCTTTGGATAAAAGCTACCTCTAAAAGCTTCCAACATGGGAACAATTCCACCAAAATTCAAGTATGTCTCGACCATTGTCCATTCTTTCCTTCCAGTCTGCTGAGCATTGCAGCATGAAGCGGGCTGACGACACTTCTCTTTAAAACCAATTTATCCTGGCTCTTCCTTGTACTTTTCAGTCCTGCTCTTAAGCGGTGGGATATCCAAAGAGTAAAATCAATATGCGGGTGAGTGACTGAGGAGAAGAATACGCAATGATGAGGCATTTATAAGGGACTACAACCTGGCTTCACAGAGCACTACCTCATTTGAAGCTAAGGGCTTGAATCTATCACTGACACAGGGCTGCTGGCGGGAGGCTCGCTGTCCTTAGAGATAAGCCAATGCCAGCCGCTTGGACTGCACCTTTTCCTTCTTTTATACACTCTTCTTGCTTTCTCATAGCACTGGGTGGGAGATGCCCCCTGTGGCGTGTTTACGGTTCATATTGTCTGGGCTGCCAACACTAGTGACAAATGTGTTGAGAAAGACCCCCTCATAGTGAGAGCGAGAGAGAGTGCGGAGGCTGTGGTTTCAGTGTGTACTATAAAAGAGCCATGGGTGCATATAGAGTAGAAACTATAGGACTAGACACTTTTATCATTGTCAACAAACTTGTTGGTAGAATTTGGAAGAAAGTGGACATTTGTTTGGTATATTTGTTTGTCTATCCCTATTGTTTGCCTTTTTTAAATTAGATTGATGCCTGTATGATTATTGTTGAATGCAGAGAACATTTTGTGGTTGTAGTTGTAGCATCATTTTTGTTTTGAATGGTCATCTGTCATGGGATGTCAGGCCTTGAAATAATGCCAATAAAGACAATTATGTATATTATGTGTATTAAAGAAATAATTTTTTGTGACTCTAGATGATGCTTTTTGAGATTTATTTTCCCACCCATTGTACCATGATGTAATTTGCTAATGCCTTTTTGCCATGCATTTGACAGACCTGCATTATGGCACATGTATAAAAATGACCACGACAATTGTGTTTGTTTCTCTCTCTGTTGTTGAGGAGTGTTGTTGTCCTCCGAGACGACTGCTGTTGTGATTGAAGGCTTTACAAAAATACATGGAATTCATTGGAAAACAAAGTATTCCAATTACACGACTCTAACCTAACTTCTTGCATTTGTGGCCTCAGGTGGTGGACCTGTACTGGGGCGTGGATCCGGAGGAGTGGGACAGTCCGGAGCTGCAGCGAATCAGAATGAAGCTCTTGGAGGAATGTCTCAAGACGTCGGCCGGACCGTGTTTTGTGGTAAGAACGATTTAGAAAACTAATTTTGGATGGAAAACGTTTCGCGTACAACAAACTTGCAGAGCGAGACAGACAGAAGCTGATTGTGAAATAGCATCCAGCCAAATTAGTGTAATTATTTTTTCCTATTTTGTTGTTGTTCTGCATATGTTGTACTGTGGACCCCGTTATATCTGTATTACTGCTAAAACATTATTATCTGAAGCATTTTATGTCTTTGTTTTGCCCACATACTACAGTATCTACATCTTAAACATGAGTCATTTCTATTTCAAGTGATGAACTCTCTGTTTTTATGCACGTAGAGACAAATCATATAAAAAGCCTTGTCTCCTCTTGTTCGATCTGAAGGAACTGGAAACAAAACCGTGGTACAGGTGCAGGTGCCTTGTCTTCATTTCTTGACGGATGAATGGGCAAGGATCGGTTACTAGAAAGACAGAGTAGTTTGAATAGTTTTGTTGTTTCTTGTTCCTTACAGCTCACACACTTTCAATAATCTTCAGCAACTCTTCTGTCATCTGGCCTTTTTCAAAACTGACAAATAATCTCCTGCAAAACGCTACGTTCAGAGGAACAGAAAGACTACTTGGTGCAGTTTCCTCTCCCCATCTGATTGCAATCCAGTAACTTGACAATGAAAGCAAATTGCTCCCCAGCTGTGCGCTCTGAACACCAATAACAACGCGAAACTAGCTAACAAGACGGAAATCTGTTTTTTATTGCCTGACTGTCTTGTTTATGAGTCGCGCCTCGGTCACAGATTACACAGAGATATAACAAGAGCGACAGCCGCTTACAGAGAAAAAAACTGTATCAACAACAAGCAAAAATGAGTTGAGATTTCTGCAAAAGGCGACGCCCTGGTGACGTCTTCACACATCGTAGATAATTTTAGCTCGTACATAACTCGAAAAGCAAGAGGTACGAAAGGAGACAGGGATGAGAAAAAAGGTGGAGGAGAAATTGATTGTGAATTATTCAAATGGAACGGATCAGTTTTGGGAGGCTGGAATTGAGGTGAGAGATCAGAGACAGGGGTAATGCATTGTGGGTAAAGTCTCTAGGGAGGCACTAATCTCCCACCACTGGACTTTGGTTTTGTCCTCTGCTGTCCTGCATGCATCGCTTCACTCCAAGTTGTGTCTCCGGCTAACAAGCAAACAACGCTTTAGAACTGTGAAAGAGCCCAGTTTCTGATCCTTCGTATCTCTGCTTCTCGCTGTTGTATGAACTCGCTCCCAACGGTTTTAGTTGTTTACAAGAATATGGATTTTAATTTATTCTGGGATCATTTTGATAACAACATTCAGACAAGATGCTGCAACTGAAATTCAAATTTAGCTAATCATCCTAATTTTCTTTATCCAGACTTTGTTTTTGTTTTTTTTGATTTGAAATGATTTGATTTTTTTAAATGTTATTTTTTAATTATTATCATTTAATTTATTTTTTTAATTGTATCTATACAATTAAATGGTTGCTAATTATCATAATTGTCTTTATTTTTATTTATTTATGTTAGTTATTTTATTTATTTATTTTTTTGTATCTATTGTTTTTATTTTATTTATGTCATTTATTCAGTCCACACTTTAACAAGAAACATAAAACAAAAAAACCCAAAAATACAGACAATCTTTTAAACGACAGCAATACCAGAGATAGTTTTACCTTATTTCATATCTTACCAGTATTTCTATAAAGGTGACTAGTACCATGTAGCACACAACCATGGGGTTCATGGATCGAATCGTATTGTTTGATGTTTAAGGGCTGAAACTAACTAATAATTTCACAATCATATAATCCGGCAATTTTTCTTTTGATTAGTCGTGTAGAACGTCCCTCACTGTAACGGGGTTCACTTTTACCGACCTCGCTGCTTCATGGATTTATGCAATTTATTTGTGTTTTTTTAAATTCAATTCAATGTATTTTTGTATAGCCCTAAATCACAACAACAGTTACCTCGGGGGACTTTACAAAATCGTTGATTCGGCAACGACAGATCAGAGAATCAAACACAAGAAATGTAATGAAAATATAACCAATGATCCATAAGGGGCTGAGGACCAATGACCATAAATGTCAAATTGTCCATAAGCCTTGATTTTACAGCTTGCTTCTCCCTTTAATTCACTTGTAATAATAATTTTCCTTCTCTATTTTGTAACTTCACATTCTATCAAGTAAAAACTCCGAACGTGATGCAAGCTCAAAGCCGGCATTCCAAAAAAAAACTGTGGCGAAGCAATCTCAACTCTTCATTTTAAAAGCGTGTCCCGGGGCGATTTGATGCATTCTGCCCATAGTCGTTTCTTCTCAATTTGTGCCCTTTCTCCGAGTATTGGATAGTATGTGTTGCGCGGTAAATCAGCCGGCTGGACACTGTCAGAATCATTGCACTCTTTCTCCTAAAGCGTTTCTTAGATTTATGACGCAGCACAGCGAGTTTGTCTTACGAGGCGCGGCTGAATTGGTTAAAGCGGCTCCAGGATCGGCGGCAAAGTAGCCAATAATGCCTTTTGAGGGACTGTGTGTTCTTTAATGTACACGCGGTTAAAGTAAATGGCCCATTGTGAAGTTGAATGGGAGCGACTTTCTGCTTTTGTGCTGCTGTTTGGGTGTTTGTACGCAGCTTTAGTGATTTCATTCTTTCCCATCAGCCGCGGCGCCCTCTGTTCCCACTGTAATTTCACCGTCTTAACCCTGGCCGACCTCCCCAAATACAGCCGATCAGCACCGCCAGGAGCTCAGGCTGGTGAATGCACTTCTTTTCTCTCCTCCAGAAATACACCCACAGAGACAAACAAAAACAACTTTACCTGTGGCTATATTCAATGTGAAATACTCGTGTCCACAGAAGAATCACCGAGAGCTAAGTGATCACGCAAGTAGTGGTAAATAAACTAAATCAGATAGAGTGAGAGTGGAGATTGATCATTTGTCTTGATAGAGGAAAGCCTGGATGGCTACAGTGAATTATGGTTGTTTTTATTTTAATCTTGGCACTGGGAATAATCACATTGAGATTAAAAACCTCTTTTCCAAGTGAATCCTGACCAAGAGGCAGCAAAGCTACACATTGAAAGGCATTACTACATAACAGGTGACGTATTAAGAAAAGTAGTTACACATAACCTTTAAACAATCTTTCTGCATTGGAATTGCAGTTCAAACAGACTGCTTAGATCAGTGCTTCCCATAGAGGGACCGGGGCCCCCAGGGGGGCTCAGAGGCTCTGCAGGGGCCCCCAAAGGTTGTGGACACAACCAGAAATTATAAATAGAAGCACATCTAGTATTTGATTGTATGTATTGTACAGTCACTCTTTTCATAGCTTAAATTGTGTATATGCTTTGATCTAATTTTAAAAGGAAAAACATAATGTGAAGTATTGGGGGCCCAGGGGACTCCAGACTTCAGAAACCTCTGACTGAGATCAGTAAATAGTTCATATACTAAAGTTTACATTTACATTACTGCAGTTATTTCTTCAATATGTTGAAGCAATAGGAGAAATGGACTGATTCTGTACCTTATACATCTAAAATCAAATACTGACAAATATTGGACATCTTCACGAAGACACACATTGATGTCACATTATTCATCTCTATGATTCATAATTTTGTTTTGATATTTAGTTTTAATGAGTTTGATTATTTGAAAATTTGATCATGAGCTTCATCAGGTGTCACTGAGTCTATTCTCAAACATAGATTTAGGTCAGAGGCCTCATATGTCAATCCTTCAGGCCTTTGGGCTCACCACATGCATGTTCACACTTCATTAAAAGCTTAGGTACCTCATTGGTTTTTGTTTTATGAATACATGTTGTTTTTGGCCGAGTCGTGAAACAATCAGACAACTACAGGCCGCTAATATCATACTTTTTATTAGAAAACATGTTCTCTTTGGGGGGGCTGGTACTCTGTTTTTCACTGAAAAAGCTGAAGCTATAGATGGTGATATGGAGTCACCATATCTACTTCAAGTAGATATGGTGACTCTAAAAGTGATCCACCAAATGGTTGAGCAAAAGGCTTAAGAGATAGAAACTAGTTACATGGATTCTATTACATTGTTATTTTTTCTGGTGTCAAAGTGCCTGGAGACAGTGCGTAGCATGCCTAGCTTCACGCAGAGCCAGAGCCAAAGCTTGATTTGGAGACTGCTCCTTTGACAGCACATCCATGAAAGGAGGGAGCAGAAAGTGGCTGTGTGAACGGCACATGAGCCCGAACGCACACGCAGAGACACACGCACTGGGCCAGGCACCTGCATGGACCAAACAGACCGGGCGGCACGGTGGCTGAGTGGATAGCACTCTCGCCTCTCAGCAAGAAGGTCCTGGGTTCGAATCCTGGTCAGACCAGGGCCTTTCTGAGTGGAGTTTGCATGTTCTCCCCGTGTCTGCGTAGGTTTCCTCCGGGTACTCCGGTTTCCCCTACCACTAAAAATATGTCCAATAGTTCAATAGGAGTGAGAGACAAATGCCCAAAAATTAACAAATGTAAACCGCTTTGAGACTCAGATCTGCAGTGAAAAGGCGGTATATAAATAAAGATTGATTGATTGAGACACTAATCATGACATATGGACATAAATATGACAAAACATTTCACCAAACTACTGTAGAAATGTGTACCAAGCCGTTACGACGTTTCCAATATGAGGAACAAGTCGTGCGTGTATGAATGATTTAAATGTATAAAGTATAGGTTTCATTTTTTGACTGGCAATTTTTGAGACGGTACCATGTTATGTCTTTAACTTTATTAAGTTGGTCATTGGTATAATAATAATACCTCATACTTATGTAGCGCTTTTTGGGACATTCACGCTTTACAGAAGAACAAATAACATAAAACAGTAAAAAAAAAATATACATATTATTGTATGATTATTATTAGAGGTACGGATTTGCAAATATGTGACAATTTGATAGTATTACGATATTTGGGCCACAATTCAATATTATTGGGATTCTTAAC